ACTGGCTCAAGGTTGACGCAGGTTTCCATCCTTCTGAGATCAGTGAAATAAGAGCCCAGATTGTTGGGGGCCATAGACTGATTCTGAAAACAAATTAGAGAGGGTTATAAAACCCTATGAAGCAGTATATAAGGCTATTGTTACTGCCATTTACAAAAGAAAGGACAATATATGAAGTATTGCATAACATAAAAGTAACACATGGTTGTAAGCAATAGAAAGTTATGGAGAGATATGTTGAATGATATTAGTATAAATGAAATTTTATCAGATTTTCTTTTCTCTTATTTCTAGCCTTTAGTTTGTTTTGCTTTCTACTTCTGTATTAATCCATCTTTTACTAGTGACATGTTTATTAGTAAAATATAATAGTGAAATAAATAAAGACATAATGACATAATCTTTCAACGCATAATAGTAACTCAAATAAAATCTACAATACAGCTACATAAGTTAGAATGAGCAAATCTAACATATTTGTGTTTTGATTAGTTTCTTGTTTTTCCAACATTTCATTTATTTGTGCCCTATTTCTGCACCTGATGATGATGACGATGATGATTATATCATTAACATGCTGCTGTATGTTTTCTAGGTATTTCTCCTAAGATGATAATTTTTACTCACTTTTCCCTAACCCAGTGGTAGCGAACCTATGGCACGTGTGCCAAAGGCGGCACTCAGAGCCCTCTCTGTGGGCACACAAGCCATGCCCGGGAGATGGCAACCATCCCTCTTCAACCAGCCACCCACTAACTCGCTGAAGTCCCACATGGCCGGATGCATCCCAGCACCCATGAGCTCGCTGGCCTCTGTGTGCAGAGGTCAATGGTGTCAGGCAGCAGCTGCCCATGCCCCACCTTGTCCTGTGATGGCATCCCCACCCTGCCTCGCCTTGCCTTGCCTCACCCCGCAGAATGAACCTCCTGCCCACCGCCCCACCTGGCAGAGACCCCCTGGATCTCCCCCAACCCTGCCCGGCCCCCACAGGCGTCCCTCCCCACGAGCAACATCGAGGTGATCACACCCACATTGGTCACACCCACCCAATCTGCCATAACCACCACAGCCATGCCCACCTGGCACCCAGCGATAAATAAGTGGGTTTTGGGTTGCAGTTTGGGCACTCGGTCTCTAAAAGTTTCACTATCACGGCCCTAACCTAACTTTAATTTAGTGTGCAGATAGGACTGAAAAATCAAAAATTGGTTATTTAAAAAAAATCCTACTTCTACATTGGCTCCCTTTCCCCCAATTTTTTGCAGCTAAGTTCCATTCTGAAAGAAAAGAAATACCAGAAGAGATAACATGTAGAAATTTTATTTCAAAATTTTCTTTTTCTTTTCAAAACTGGATTCTTTTTTTCCCCTTTTCTCTACACAACTAGGGCAGATCTTTAGAAACATATGGATTATAGCCACCTTGTGTAATTCTCAAACTAACTCGATATACTCAGTTTTTAAGAAACCAAAAATTCTGGAATGCCTTTTCCAACCATTTAATGGCATTCCTACTAGCTACCTGACTATTTCCTTTATAGACAAGCATGGGAATAATTTTTCTAGATTTTTTTCCCCTCTACATACCTAAAGAAGGTCCTACTTATTGTTAAACTTTAGTTTTCTTTAGTTGGCATCTCCCTTCATTCCAAGTTTTATTATTCTCTGATTTCAGGTATTTATCTTACTATCAGTGAACATATGAACAGAATGCTAATACCCTGTACAAAAATTATTAGCAACATTACTTTGGATTACAACGAATGAAAATTGTATTGCAGAATACAATGGTATCAATCTCTATGGAGATTCTCAGTCATTCAGGCCATGGTTGTCCCAAAAGTGCTTTTTCAAAAAGCAGCTGGATGTTTGTTTTTTCTTGGAGACATTTCTCTTCTTATCCAAGAAGCTTCTTCAGAACTGACAATGGAACAATGGAATCAAAATTTTATATGCTGTGTATTCATATTAAAATCTGGCAGATAGAAACTGAATAGTTGATAATATATATCACTTGAACATTGTTTTGCTGTTTTACTAAGTGAATATAACTAGTTTTATTGGGATATAAATAAAATAAAATTCTTACATAAGGGTGTATATCTCCTGATGCTTACAAATCTATTCATCTTTTTGCTCATAAATTACATTTGGAGCCAATTTTGTGTAGTAGTGTTTGTTGTTCTGCAACTTTGATTCTGCAGTAAAGTGTAAATATTTCCAAATGTATGTGCAATTATCTCAAGAGCATCTATTCTTTTTCCTAACATTAAAGGATATTATTAATGAAAAATGACCAAATTATTTCTAATATCAAGAAATTATAAAAATTCAATTAACTGAGTTTTCTATTGGGCCTTTGCATGAATATTAATGATGTAAAAATAAGCACAAAAAGTTTCTTAATAACTCAGTGTCTCTATATGTAGCCTCTTTGTCCTAATTTGGAAAGCTGCTCCCAGAGACAAGTTTCTCTACATCCAATTTAGGATTTTTCCTTAGTTCTCAAAGTATTACAAGTAAATATGCAAGAAAATTATTTGGCTATCATTAGATGTATAGTTAGAGAGATAGGAAGATAGAGTTTTACTCGCAATATCTTGAAATTATTCAAATTTTGTGAGATTGTAGGGAATTGGCAGCAGAAATTACTTGGTGGTAGAATGTCAAAAATGTATTTCTTAAAACAGTATTTTCTAGAGGGAGCCCAGGACAGGTATCCATAAAGAATTGTAATCCTATGGTTTCTGAAAACACTGCTGTTGCTGACATTGGTGAATAGAGAAGAAGCAGAATATATAAACTAAAAATCCTTTCATACTGCTTCTTGGGCTAAATTTCTTTTTACCTTCCTTTCAGATATAACGTTTGTAGGTCCCTTTATTCTCCCTTAGCACAGGGGTCCTCAACCTTGGCAACTTTAAGACTTGTGGACTTCAACTCCCAGAATTCCTCAGCCACCTTTGAGTTGAAGTCCACAAGTCTTAAAGTTGCCAAGGTTGAGGACCCCTGCCTTAGCAAACTCCAAAATGCTTTGATCTGTTTTTATACATCTGATGGCAGCATATTTTGTGGCTAAGCTATGTGTTGAGTAAGGAAAACTAAAATCTAATAGACATAATTCCTTTTTGAAACCTAGAGAGATTTCCCATTGTTTTCTACTTTCTAATTAGGATTGATAAATAGTTTGAGGAGGTAAAGATGGTTTTCTATGTTTGTTTGTTTTTTGCAGTCATATAAATGCATGTCCAGAAGCCTATTTAAATTATTTTCTACTGTATGTGATGCAAAATCTTTTACTTTCCAACTATTCATCAGAATTATATAAAGCAGATCTTTACACATAGGCACCCAACAATATTCTCCCATTTCAAGTTACTTTTCCCAAAAGATAAGCATCTGTATTGAGCACTACATTTCCTAAAATTAAGGTCACATTAAAGCTTATAAATTTGACTACAATCCTGTTATTTGGTAACTGGAAGGAAGGTATGAGGGATTTGTCCAAAAGCAATCAATATTTTAGATGAAAGATGCTTCAAAATAACATCATAATATTCTTACATTGCTGACTGGGCTATTTTTCCAGATTTATAAGAAATAAGATGTGGGAGCAATTTTGACATTGGGAGATAGTGTTTTGGTCCCAAATCAAATGATTTCATATGTTTAAATCATATTGTTTTAGAATGCAGTTTGTTTGCATTGCTGGGTAGCATAGACAACTTGCTGCTCTTTACCTTGTTTTATATAATTGTTTGCCTAGTTACCAGAGCCTTTTGCAATCTGTCATCTTTCTTGACAAATACTTTAGGCAGAAAGAAGGAGAGAGCTCTGTGGAGGGAGGTGGGAAGAAAGAGGAAGACACAGGTTAAAGAATTGCTGAGAGAAAGGGAGGATATGTTCCTGAAAGTATCTCTTCATAATTATCTCATATTAGAGCGGTTATGGCTTTCCCATAGATGATACTTATGACATGCCAATACTTGTTTATTGCCACTTATTATTTATATAGTAATCTTCTTCTCTTCATCACCCCAACCATTTTAATGATTAGTGTATTGGATTCAGGATTATTTCATGGTTGGTCACTTCAAAGAATACTATTTAAAATGACTGCAGCCTTCTTGTTGCCCATATAACTAGAAAGTTCATGCAAGACTGGTTGATGGATCTCTCAGGCTGAACAGTTCCAGCACAAATTGGGTAGCACACCTAGAAATTGCTTAAAAATTTGGGTAACAGATGCCAGAAGAGGGATAGGACATTTGGCCAAAGATTTACTTGACCACTAATACCCAGACTGCTGTATGACACTACTTCATCATTGCCTGGCAAAAACTCCTAGTCAGAAGGAGCCAAAGAGAATGGGAGATAGACGAATTAGTGCTGCCAATCTGTTTCAGTGTCAGAGGTGAGACCCATGAGCCAGATCTCGCTTGCTGACTGCTAAGCTTGCCTACTAGATATCCTTCCCAGGATGAACTGAGGTAAGAGGTAAGACAGAGGTGCTAATTTGCCCACTACTCACCTAATCCATCCGATGCCTGCTGGCAAAAGATTATGCACACCTGCTTGCCTTTTGTCAAGACTGCCTCTAAAGAATGCTCTGCTGATGAGGAAAAGATGATGTGTCTTCCAGACCAGGACCCATAAAGACTGGGGAGTCTTGTTAGGAAAAAGTTGAAGATGAGCACTTCTCTAGAAGCAGAAAAACTAGAGAGTTTTTAAAGCTCACATCCCTTTCCAAGAAGCTAAGAGAATGAAGATTATTTAAGCTACCAGAGTTGAGACACACTGAGCAGAAGAGGCTAAATACTGGCAAGAGCAGGACTGCCCTCTCATCACTTCTGGGAAGATGCCTAGATGAGCAGACTTAGCAGACTCACTCTTTACTTTCATGACTGATTGCATCAAAAACCCTTGCTCTGTGCTTTGTGCTTTATGTTTCCTGAACTTTGGACCATTCTCTGCTTCTTCACTCTGAATCTGACTGATCAGAGAGACAGCTCAACTACAGTACAGGATATGTAAGTTGTTTACTTTCTTCAAACTCCTTATTTTTCTCTAGGTGGCCATCTCTCTGCCAAAGGAATGTGTAATTGTAGCAGCTTTAAAAGAGGACACCTTCTCCAGGTGGTGCAAGTAGTGAGGGATTTTGGCACAATTTTAGGCACAATCCACTTGCTTCTCCTGCCAACATGTATTTTAGATTAGCTAGTTGGTCAGAAATTTTTGACTAACAGTGCCAAAAAGAAATTGGTAGGTGATGCATTGTCTAGCCTTCCAATAGATGATATGATAAGTTTCGTACATTTCCTGTGCATTTATACACATCTATTGCATCTATACAGCAATCTTTCAGACACGGTTTTGTGTCTAAGGTGGGATTAGAACTCAATCTTCCAAATTCTAGCATAGTTCCTTAACCATGACACCAACTGGCTCTCCCTAAGTCACAAGAACTGGTAAAATTCTTTTTGCAGATTTTAAAAGATCAAGTTTTATCTTGAAATAGATGCTGAAAAGTTATTAAATATCAGAAAAGCTATTGTGGATTTAAGTCTCCAGATTCTCTGTTTAATTCTCTGCTATTTTGCTGCTGTTTGTAAATGTATAGTATCACATTCAACAGGTCTATAAAAAGACTTGCCTGCTTTTTGCAATCAATAATGGGGAATATGAACAAGTGGAAACTAGATAGCAGAATAAGATTACATCCACTCTATTTCCCAAATTACCTTAACATCTGTATGGGTGAGTTTAATTATGGTTGTGAATTATTGGATTTGAAATCTAACAGATATGGGATATACTAGCTTGGGAAAACTTGATTTAATTCAACATACTTTTTAAATAGCATTATAAAAACTGAGTAAAATACAATGAAATATCAATCACCTATATAAATCCCATCCTAATTAGAAGTTTACTTAATAAAATCAATTGATCAGTTTTCCAATCTCAACCAATCAATGCAACTGAACTGGTTTCTCTAGACTGATGATGTTCTGGGCTATTTTGTAATTTTAAAAAAATACACAAATATTTCCAAGATTTTTCAGAGATGGTCAATTATAAGCCACTTTCTACTTTCATAGTTGGATATATTGATTAAGAAAATAGTGTCTTCTCAGGTGGACTCACCTTAGAGGTAAGGAATTATTTTTATTCATTTCAAACTGGTTTACAACAGGCTGAGAGTCTCTCAATTTTCATGGTAGATCACGTTTGTCTGAGTCTGACAAAGCATGATTCTGGTTTCTTCCTTCTTGATCTCTCAGCAGCCTTTAGTACAACCAACAAGGATTCCTTCTGAAAAACTTGAAACGATTGGAAATAGAAAACATTACTGGGTATTAGATGGTGTCACTTAGAAATAGTTGTTCCTCAAAATGAGAGTGTGGCATGGTGTCCTTCAGGTTTCTATTCTGTCTCCAGAAATTTTTATCATCTACATGAAAGTATTGGGGATGAGCATCCTTAACAGAAAGAATAAGCAAGAATTTGAGTGGAAGATAATCTAAAGAAAGGGAAGAGACATAAGAAAGAGGAGGAAGAAGAGAGAGGAAGAAGAAAGGAAGTAGGGATTGCTGACTGTTTGTTGCTGCTGGCTTTTTTCTGACTGCTGATGAAAATCATCTGTGTGTCGAAATCCATCTGGATTTTGAGCCTTTCTTCTGTGGTGTTGGATATTTCTGCCAGTTTAGTGTCATCTAAATTGTTTATGAAGATTTTTATGAAGATGAAAACAATCATTTATGAAGATGAATTCTTTCAATTTAATTTCTGGCTTTGTAGCCAAGTACCACTATTCTGCTATTGGTTTGTTTTGAGGGCATTTATATACTTTAATCCCTCCCCTTGGCTTTCCCCTGTTTTAAGATGCTATTTGTCTATGGAAATTCTCAGTCAATCAGGTCATGGTTGTCCCAAAGGTGCTTTTTCATGAGGCAACTGCATTTTCTTTTTCTTTTTGAAGACTGTCCAGCCTCTTCTTGAAAACCTCCAGTGATGGAGCACCCACAATTTCTGAAGGCAAGCTGTTCCATTGGTTAATTGTCCTCACTGTCAGGAAATTTCTCCTTAATTCCAGGTTGTTTTTCTCTTTGATCCAACTATTGTTTCTTGTCCTTCCCTCTGGTGCTTTGGTAAATAACATGATCGCCTCGTCCCCGCTGCCCGGCATATCCCGCGTCCCGCATGGCAGCGACCCACAGCCTGACTTTCTGCCGCTGGAGAGTGTCAGCCTGCTCCACCAGCAGCCACAGCCCCCCCCCCGTGGCGGCAGGCCTCGCCGCAGCAGCCCGCCTGGGCAATCCGGCCCGGCGCTCAGCCAACCCTCGCTGCCCCGTGTGTGGCTTCCTTTTCCTTCTCCTCTATCATCGCCGCCGCCGCCTCGTCGTTTTCCTCAGGTTCCGCGGCGGGGCCTTCTCCAGTGACCTGGGTCCCCCGCGTGACTTCGCCCATTGCCTTGGCAGCAATTGCCGCTGTTGCGGCGACGGCCAGTAACAACCTGGAGAAGTTGACCCAGCTCTTTGAGGAGCATAAGGCCAAGTACGGTCTGCCCCAAGACAAGTACTTAATGATCATCTAGCCGGCCACATTGGACCAGCCTGGGACACAGAGGGGCAATACTATTTTTTAGAGAATGTTTGTTGTGGGTGTGAGTATGCATGTAGATGAATGGTGGCCCTGTTATATATAAATTTATTATTGTATTTAGGGTGTATGAATGCGAAAATTTTTTACTTTTTATGTATATAAATTGAGTGTGAATGTGTACTGAGTGTTTGGGGTATGAGAATGGTGGAGTCGGGTGTGGAGCCTGGTACCCCCTCTGCTGAGTGCAATAGCAAAAGTAGGGGGGCGCAGGACTTACCCTTGGGCTTGGTTTGTATGGAAAGCGAGTCCGGTCAGGAAGGGAGAAGGCTGGTGAGGGTGGAGGTATTCTGGGGAGGGGAGAAGGTTGGAGCATCCCGGTCATGACTGGGATGGGCAGATATGGCGGGAGCTGAGGGGCAGGCCATCTTTGGGGAACGAGGACTCGCTATGTTAGAGCGATTCCTTGTTCCGGCCCCTCAAAAGGCTCATCCTGTAGTACTGGTGACAGGGGAGTACAGGGCCCTGATTGCAGGCTGCTGTTGCTTAATGACAGGTCCATTGTCAGCAAAGCCCTCCTTGTCCGTGATTTAATATTGGACAGCGGGGCGGACCTGGCATGTATAACCGAAACCTGGCTGGGCCCTGAGGGGGGTGTTTCCCTCTCGGAGATGTGCCCGGACGGGTTTGTGGTGCTTCATCAGCCTCGACATCAGGGCAGGGGTGGGGGAGTGGCAGTCATCGCTCGGAAGTCCTTGAGCCCTCATGGGATTCCTGCCCCGGAGGTTGTTGGGTGTGAGTCCCTCCTATTGAAGTTGGGTTCACGGGTTCAGTTGGGCTTGCTGCTTACGTACCTACCTCCCAGCTACGTTGCAACAGCCCTGCCTGCGTTGCTGGAGTCAGTAGCCGGGTTGGCGGTGGAGTTCCCCAGACTTATAGTACTGGGGGACTTTAATCTGCCATCACTCGGCGATCGCTCAGAGGCGGCGCAGGAGTTCATGGCTTCCATGGCAACCATGGACCTGACCCAGGTAATTCAGGATCCAACTCATAGGGGTGGTCACACACTCGACCTTGTGTTTCTCTCGGGGCAATGGAGACATGATCTGGAATTAAGGGGAATAGAGATCTCGCCCTTGTCATGGACAGATCATTTCCTATTGAGGCTGGACTTCAGAGCATCACTCCCCCATCGCAGGGAGAGGGAGCCGACAAGGTGGTTCCGCCCCAGGCGCCTAATGGACCCAGATCGGTTCCAGGAGGAGCTTGGGGAAATACCTGACTCCCTTGTCCACAACTCGTCCGGGTCCCTGGTTGCGGCCTGGAATGAGGCGGCGTCCAGGGCCCTGGATCGAATTGCGCCTTTGCGACCTCTCTGTGGTGGTGGTCCCCGGAGGGCTCCTTGGTTTACAGAGGAGCTCCGGGAGATGAAGTGCCACAAGAGACGTCTAGAGTGACGTTGGAGGGCCAGTAACTCTGAATCTGACCAATCACTATTAAGAGCCTATCTTAGGACTTATTTAGTGGCGATAAGGGTGGCAAAAGTGTTCACTTTTCCGCACTTATTGCGTCCGCAGAATCTCGCCCGGCCGCCTTGTTTAGGGTGACCCGCTCCCTTCTTAAAGTGGAGGAGGCGGAGGAACCCTTGCAGGGGAGAGCTGAGGAGTTTGTTCAGTTTCTGTCGGACAAAATCACTCAGATACAGAGAGACCTGGACTCCGACTGGGCAGTGCCAGCCGAGTTGCCAGGGGCTGGTCTTAGTCATGTTCTCTGGAGCGAGTTTGAGCCTGTGACCCCTGATGAAGTGGACAAGGCCGTGAGGGCAATGAATGCCGCCACCTGTTTATTGGACCCGTGCCCCTCCTGGCTGGTTTCTGCCAGTAGGGAGGTGACACGAGGCTGGCTCCAGGCGATAATCAACGCCTCCTTGATGGAGGGGTCTTTCCCGCAACCTTTAAAGGAAGCGGTGGTGAGGCCCCTCCTCAAGAAGCCTTCCCTGGACCCAGCTGTTTTGAAGAACTTTCGTCCCGTCTCCAACCTCCCCTTTGTGGGGAAGGTTGTAGAGAAGGTGGTGGCGTCTCAACTCTTGCGATCCTTGGAGGAAACCAATTATCTGGACCCTTTTCAATCTGGTTTCAGGCCCAGCTACAGCACTGAGACTGCTTTGGTTGCACTGACCAATGACCTCTGGCAAGCCCGGGATAGGGGTTATTCCTCTATCCTGGTGCTTCTTGACCTCTCAGCGGCTTTCGATACCATCGACCATGGTATCCTTCTGTGTCGTCTCGGAGAGGTGGGGGTGGGCGGCACCGTATTGCGGTGGTTCTCCTCCTACCTCTCTGACAGGTCGCAGTCGGTGTTGGTGGGCAGACAGAGATCGACCCCTAGGCGCCTCGATTATGGGGTGCCTCAGGGCTCGGTCCTGTCC